AGCCGGGGGCGGCACCTTCCGGGTCCGGCCGCCGGGACTGCGCCGCCCCCTGCCGGCCGGAGCCCGACAGGGGCAGCGTCCCCTATAGCGAGACCCCTATAGACCCCCTATAGACCGAGACCCGCTACAGAGACCCTTCCCCTATGCAGATTACGAGAGAGCCCTGTACAGACACCGCCCCTATAAAAAACCAGCTATAGGCAGAATCCCTTATAGACATGCACCCATAAAGACAGAGACCCCCCCATAATGAACTCCGTAGAGAGACCACTTCCCCCATAGAGAGCCCTCCGAGACAGAGACCCTTCTCGGGCACCTATCGATGGACTTTTCCCCTCTAGGGAGACCCCCTATATAAACAGTGCCTTTAGAAAAGACACCTATTCATAGACTCATAGAATATCAGGGTTGGAAGGGACCTCAGGAGTTATCTAGTCCAACCCCTGCTCAAAGCAGGACCAATTCCCAACTAAATCATCCCAGCCAGGGCTTTGTCAAGCCGGGCCTTAAAAACCTCGAAGGAAGGAGATTCCACCACCTCCCTAGGTAACGCATTCCAGTGCTTCACCACCCTCCTAGTGAAATAGTGTTTCCTAATATCCAACCTAGACCTCCCCCACTGCAACTTGAGACCATTATTCCTTGTTCTGTCATCTGCCACCACTGAGAACAGTCTCGATCCATCCTCTTTGGAACCCCCCTTCAGGTAGTTGAAAGCAGCTATCAAATCCCCCCTCACTCTTCTCTTCTGCAGACTATTAACAGCATCATCCCCTATAGAAATACATCTGTAAAGGCAGAGAGACCATTTCCCCTAGAGAAATCCCATAAAGAGGGAGACTCCCCTCTTTCCCCTATAGAAATAACTCTGACCCTATAGGGAGTCGTCCCCCCCATACTTTAAGGCGATCCGACTCCTCGCCCACCTGTGCAAGGAGTGAGGCTGGGTGTTGTTTATTCTGTGGGGCTGGTGGGTCGGCCTGTTATTAGCTGTGCTGTATTATAGGGCAGGGCCCTGTAGTACCAGGCGCTGCCCAGACCCAGACCGAGATCACGGTCCCATTGTGCAGTGCGCTGCCCAGACAGACATTGAGAGACAGTCCCTGCCCCAATTAACTCACAGTCTAAAGAGACAAAGGGCGGGAGGGGAAACTGAGGCACATAGAAAGCAGGGGATTTTCCCAAGGTCACCCAGCATCTCTGGCCACCCCAGCTCAAACAAGATATATTAGAACCGAGAAAAGTACCGTGAAGGGCAACACAGATGATGAGGGGGATGGAACAGCTGCTGTGTGAGGAGATTACAAAGACTGGGACTGTTCAGCTTGGAACAGAGACGACTAAGGGGGGATCTGAGAGAGGTCTGTAAAATCGTGACTGGGGTGGAGAAAGTGACTAAGGAAGTGTTATTTACCTCGTCACATAACACAAGAACCAGAGGTCACCCAATGAAATTAATAAGCAGCAGGTTTAAAACAAACACAAGGAAGTATTTCTTCACACAACGCACAGTCAACCTGTGGAACTCCTTGCCAGGGGATGTTGGGAAGGCCAAAAGTATAACTGGGTTCAGAAAAGAACCAGATAAGTTCATAGAGGGTAGGTCCCTCAATGGCTGTTAGCCGGGATGGTCAGGGACACAACCCCATGCTCTGGGTGTCCCTAAACCTCTGACTGCTAGAAGCTGGGACTGGACGACAGGATGGATCAGTCAATAATTGCCCCGGTTTATTCATTCCCTCTGAAGCATCTGGCACCGGCCGCTCTCAGAGGCAGGACCCTGGGCTAGGCGGACTATTGATCTGACCCAGTACGGCGGTTCTGATGTCCAGTTGCCTCCCAAGGCCTAGTCCAGCCCTACCCACCAGGCCCTGCTGCCCCTTCCCTGATTGGTAATGCGCTTCTGGCCTCATGTCTCTGGAGGCCAGGCTGGGGCTGCCTTGTATGCAGACTGGGAGACGGGTGGGCCGGGCCGTGAATGCCAAGGTGGCAAGGACAGGTAGGTGAAGACGGCCTGGACTAGAACACAGGAGAGGCCAGAGTTACACATCAGATGAGAGTGAATTGGAATTTTCCCGCTCTATAAAATAAATTAATGGAGATATCCCATCTCCTAGAACTGGAAGGGACTGTGAAAGGTCATTGAGTCCAGCCCCCTGCCTTCACTAGCAGAACCAAGTACTGATTTTGCCCCAGATCCCTAAGTGGCCCCCTCAAGGATTGAACTCACAACCCTGGGTTTAGCAGCCAATGCTCAAACCACTGAGCTATCCCTCCCCCCTTAGAGATGGGATAAGATTCAATTGGAAACAGGAGCGGGCAGATCTATAGATCAGATGGGATCAAATTAACTTGCCTTGGATTCGATTGCAATAGAACGAACAGATTGAATTAGCTACAGACAGGGTTAGTTACAATGACTCGGACTGGGCGGGGGCCCATCTAGCCCGGTATCCCGTCTCCGACAGTGCCAGCAGCTTCAGACACAGGCCCACAGAGCCCTGCGGAGGCAGTGGCAGGAGACGTTCCTTCGGGACCCCGGGCAGCTCCGGGCGGGCGGATTCTCCAGCCAAACCAAAAGCTCTTTTCAAACTCTGTTTTCCCAGTCCTGAAATTCTTTCTGTTAACACGGGGACAGGTCCTGAGCTGGTGTCAATCGCCCGAGCCCCACGGATTGATACCAGCCGAGGATCTGGCCCAAGAAATCTGACCCCCAGCGCTGAACGGGGACCCTCATTCTCTTGACGGTAGGATATTGGCAGTTGAAGCCAGACACAATCCAACTGGAAATAAGACACACATCTTTCCTGGGGGGTGAGTAAGCACGGGGGGGGCGGCGGGGAGAACTCCCCAGAGAAGTGGTGGATTCTCCGGCTCCTCATGGCGTCACATCCAGCCTCACTGCCCACCTGGAAGATGTTTTAGCCGAACACAAGCAGCTCGGCACGGGCACCTGGGTGAAACGGAACCGTCTGGGCTGTACAGGAACTCTGGCTAGACGCAGGTGGGCCAGGCAGCCAGTGGGCCCCGGCCCGGGCTGGCCCCTGGGAATGGAGATGACGGTTGGATTGCCAGGCACGGAGGGCGCCTGTAACCGAGCCACAACAAGGGGTAAACGGGGCGGTGATGGCGTCAGGATAACACTCAGCGGTGCCCTGGGGTACAGCGAGACACCCGCTGACCTCCCACCGCAGGGCACCGGCTTTCCACGCCCGGCAGGAAGATGGAGAAACATCCCCCTCTAGTGATGCTTTGCAGAACAGCCGCATGAACCGCAGGGGTGTGTTGGCCAAGCTCGGGGTGAGATTTTCCCCTGCTCCAGCCAGCAGCGGCCCCACGTCCCCGGGCAGTAGCTGACAGCTGCGGAGCCATCTGCCCTGATTCAGGTCAATGTTCACAGGCATCCCGGAGCGGTGTCAGCTGCACAATCAGAGCAGGGGCCCGTCTCTGAGAGGGGCCAGGACCAACTGCTCCGAGACACCCTGCTGCAGAAGGCAGAGGTGGGACATCCTGCTAGCGGGGACAGCTCCTTCCTGACCGCTCCCCACCAAAGGTCTGCTCAGGCCCTGAAGCATGAGGCTTTATAACCCTTCCTAAGTCACTCTGGCTTTGAATGTTCTCGTTAAAGCAAGAGCCCAGTGGATGTAAGAGAACTCAGGACAGGGCAGCAACAACATTACGGCCGGGTCTGGTTGTGTTCTGGGGGCCTGATCCCCTCCTGGGGTAAATCAGCCTCAAGCCAATTCAGTCAATTGAGGTGCTCTGATTCACGGCGGGCCAGGATCCGGCCCCAGACACTACAATGACACATGTTAGATAGATAGATAGATAGATAGATAGATAGATAGATAGATAGATAGAGGGGTGGATGGGGATAGATAGATAGATAGATAGATAGATAGATAGATAGATAGATGGATAGATAGATAGATAGATAGATAGATAGATAGATAGATA